GGAGAGCGGGGGACGGAACGGTCGAATTCGGCGTCTGCGATGAAGAAAGGGTTAAGGAGTCGAAGAGGGAGAGAAAGGAGGAAAGAACCTGGGAGGAGTTCGCGAATGCTGGGGAGGGACATGAGGGAGGGCATTGATGGGATGGGGTGGGTGGAGGGGGTGGAGGGTTATATAGGAGGAGGAGGAGGAGGAGGAGGACGGGCGCTGTGGGCTGGGCGTATTTGAAGGAACGCATTTGGGGCGGTGAGGGGGATAAAGATCGGAGAGGACGAGTGGAGGACGCAGAGCAAGAACGGTCGATCCACCTTCTCGAACGGGAATGAACGGCGGAGTCTTGGGCAGCCCAACTTCGTAAAGGATTTGCGTTGGCGCCGTCCGTCCCCCCAGTCCGCCTCTCCCCGATCCGTCCAAGATCCCTCTTGCCCCCTTTGGTAACCCCCTCACGAGGCGAGGCGAGGCGAGGCGAGGCGGCAGCGCCTGAGGTCAACTCGCTCGGTCCCAACGAACACGACATACCCCCGGCCTGCACTCTTTCCCACGTCACCCTCCCTGCCAATCCCGCTCTCCATTTGGGTGCCCGGACGGCAACTTCCCCCACTCCCTGCGCTCTCCACGCTCGGTGACTGTCCCGCACATCCCAGGCGTCTGTCTGCTCTACCCTCACCCCTTCGCGCGAGGGGAGCAACCCCACTCATCGTTCTCTTCACTCTGCTCGTCCCCCCCCCCCCCCCCCCCCCCCCCCCCCCCCCCCCCCCCCCCCCCCCCCCCCCCCCCCCCCCCCCCCCCCCCCCCCCCCCCCCCCCCCCCGCCAGCCCACCTCGCTCGCACCTCCTCGATCGACTCCCCTCACGTCCTCGTCCCTGATTTGCGCCCTTCTTCCCCCCTTCGCCCACGCCCACGCCCACGCCCACGCCCACGCTCCACGGGCCATTCGGGCGTCGGGACGTCATCATCATCCCCAACCACTCCACCTCGTCCATGGTCGATCGCTCTCTATCTCCATATATAACGCCCCCCCCTTGATCCCAACCACCACAGAAGAACCACCCGTTTACAGGCGGAGACTCGACGGAGGACGAATTTATCCTTGCGCCGACACAACTCCCCCCACCGACCCCTTGGCACCTTCCCAACCCGTGGCTCCCTCTAGCTTTCTTCTCTCTCTCTAGCTCGCTTCTCTCGCGGATCTCCCTCCTTTCTTTCCCTCTCTCGGCCTTTGCTCTCAATCTCACACGTCATTCCACCACCCCTTCGCCTGTCGTCCGCCCGAGATTCGCACCCGTCCTTCTTTCGTCCCATCCTCTGCCTTCCATCTCCCCTTCCATCCTACGATCGTCGCTGCCCAATCCCCATCTCAGACTGACGCGACCACCACCCTTCCCAGCTTCTCCTCCAAACACCTAGTCACCACCACCCGCTTCTTCGCCCTCTACCTGAACGTGGATCTCTCCGATTCTCTCCACAATGGCACAACCTCAAGTCGCAAAAAAAAGGGTTTAAGTCGGGAAATTATAAGACAGAAAACGGGTCCAACCCGGGCTTGAACCGGGGATCCCTTGCAAGGGAGTCACGCGACGTTCAAATCACGTACAGCCCAAAGCAAGTATCCCACTAGACCATTGGACCATCAAATATGCCATATTGCTTTCGGACCATGATCTGGGGAGCCGTATCCCTTGAATCTGTACCAATACATCCCCCATCCTAACACACAACGCAGTCCTCCCGCAAATTTAAATTGTACATCGTCTTGTCCACGATCTTCTCGATCTTCTTCCAGTCGCTCCGTCGTTGTACAAACTCGTATATATCCTGCGAATCCGCCCTTTCTTTAGTCCATCCAATTGGGGTGACGAAATCACTACACACCTCGGGTCGGTACGCGCCCCCGTACCGCGTCACGTCCCGCACGATCTGCGCCAGGTCCTTCGCGTCCTCGACCACGTACACGTGTCCGAGCATCTTCAGATTGGAGAAATCCGCCGTGAGCGCCGGGATCTGTCCGGACGCGCGCGCGCGCGCAGCCAGTCAGCACGTGTGGCGCTCTTCTCGGAACAGGTGCGGAATGGGAATGAGAGTTTGGTGAGGCGGGGCGAGGGCCAACGAGGTGCCCGCTCGAAGCCCGGGACACCGAGCGTCCGCATGCGAACGCGGAAAAACAAAAGGGGGGACGGGGCGAGAAAGGGCGTAGGGGAGAGGGGGGGAAAACACGCACCTTGAGGGTGGCGATAAAGGCGTGGTACGCGTTGAGGTCGGCGATGACCTGGAACCCGCCGTTGAGCGAGATTATCTGTCGCTTGATGTGCTTCTGGAGGATCCTGCCCGTCCGCATCCGCCGATCCGATGTCCCACCCACCCACGCCCACCCCAAATATCGGAACCGAACATCGACGGGCGTAAAGGCACGCGTCGCACGACCGCGAGAAGGGAAGGATGAACCGCGCAAGGCCGCGAAAGGAAAGAGACGGAGAAAAAAAAGAGAGGCGCGTCAGATTCGAGGTTGCGCGGCGGAGGGACGGAGGTGTGAAGAGGTGTGGAACACGCACCCGATGAGCCGCAGCCCGACCTCGCCCTCGAACACCTCGAGCACTTCCCGGTTCACGTTCCCCTTCAGCAGCCGGATGTGCTCCTCCAAGCAGCGGATCGCCGCCGTGCAGCCCTTGGACGGCCCGAGCAGGAGCGGCGCGTCCTCGGGCGGGTAGTACGTCCGCGGCGGGGTCAGCGCCAGGATGATGTGGTCCACCTGTTCTTCCGTTCTGTCAGCCCTCCGTTTTCCCCGGGAGAGGCATGGTCATGTTCGGGCTTTTACCTGGTTCATCAGCACCTCGATCCCCGCGTTCAGCCCCAGCGCGACCGAGTCGTCCAGCGCGTTCTCGAACCGCTTCTTCTCCCGCACGACCGTGTTCAGGAAATCCGTCACGTCCACGTGCGGCGCCTTCGATGGTTCCCCGTCAGTCACTCGGTCTTTGCCTCGTCTCGGAAGGGGAAGGAACCCCCTCGCGGAAAAAAAAAACGCACCAGCTCCTTGTCAAAATACACCTGCACGATGCTCTGGATCATGTCCCCGACGTGCACCAGCTCGAAGAACTGCACCAGGGGCGCCACGGACGTCGCCTCCCTCTCCTTTTCCGACGTCACCTCCGCTCCTTCGTCTTCGCCCGACGGAAGCGCGGGGGGTTGATACGTGCGCATTTGCGCGATCGCGCTGGAAGGGCGTCGGCGGTTAACTTTGCATGTGCGTCTCCCCAAGACGCGGAACGTCGATGGCGGAAGGGAACTCACGCTTCAAACCCTGCCTTCACATGCCGCGTCCCGAGCACGCCCAACAGCTCCGCGGCGGCCTCCTCGATCGTCTCGCGCACGCGCACGCCGTACGTGCCAGGGTACCCCGTGAACGTCTCCACGCGCTTGATCGCCTCGCGCGAGGCGTGGATGAGCTCCAGCGTGACGTCGAGCGAGAGCAGCAGCTGCAGGTTGTCGTACGTCCGTTTCGTGGAGGACGACGACGCGGTGGTGGCCACCGTCGATCCCGTCATCGTGCTCGAGATCGTCTTCACGTCCGCCTTCTCGTCGTAATCCTCCTCGCCTTCGCCGTCCTCCCCGTTCGCGCCGCCGTCCCATAACACGCCGGCTTCGCCGCCCTTGCGATACTCTGCTTCCGGCGCGGTGGCCGTCACGCCTCCCCATCGCCTCGGATCAAGCATGGCGATGCCTTGCACGGCCGCACCGGACACCGTCGTGGCCGTCGCGACGACCGTACGGGGAACGATCGTGACGGGCAGCAGGAGCACGTTTGTGAAACTCGACAAGACCGAGCGCTTGAGCTGGGACGGAGACGATGACGAGAGAAACGTGGGCTGCGCGGCCCCCGGGTTCGGCGATGATGACATGAACTCGGTCGACGTCTGTGAGTGCCGCGGTCCTGGTCTCAGACGGTGAACTCGGCGGGCGGAAGCGGAGGGCACCGAACCTGTTTTTCCCAGCCGCGGCAGACGGTCTCGAGGGCTTGCTTGAGCACTTCGACTTCTTCGTCGAGGTATTCGTCCATGTTGGGCTCGAACATCCGATATCTGCCACGGTCCAGTCAGTCTCCAGGGAGGTGCGGAAGCACGGAGAGAACACGACGCACACCACGTCTTCGGCCTGGGTACGCGTGACGATGGTGTCGCCTCCGCGCTCCGCGGCGACTTCGGTCAGGACGTCGACCATCCGCCACGCCTCGCGAAAACACGCCGCGTTCGCCCGCAGAAAGAGCGATCCGTTGGTGAGCGTTCGCGCGTGGGTGAGCAGCGGTGTGATGTATTCGCCGACCTGGACGAGTCTGAGGTCAGACGGAGAGGGGAAGCAGGAGAAAACGAGTCCGGAGGGAACATACGACGTCGGTCGCAATGCGTTCCGCGAAGTTGACCAATACATTGGATGAGGCGGGGAAGACCCGCACCGCGCGGGAGCCATGTTCTCGAGGGTTGTCGAGAATGTATCCCATGAAGCTGTCCATCGCGTCGAAGGCGAGTGCGTTTGACGGCCTACAGGTGGAACCGTCAGCAAAGAGGCGCTACGCGGCAGGCGAATTCCGACAAGAGACCGCGCCGTATCCGCACGAGCTGGCCACAACTCCGCCGGTCCAATGCCCAGGGAGATGGCCGCCGCTCCTTTCCACTCTACACGGGCTCGGAATGAGGATGGATGCACGCACGTAAAGTTGTCCAGGGGTTTGTGCGTCCCGACCGTGTAGAAGATCTCCCGCTTCTCCGCCCACACCCTGCCCATTTCCCACTCGGTGTTGAACCCAAACGTCGTCGGTGCCGAGGACTGCGCTTGCGAGCTCGCCATCCACACCTCCCAGCTCGCCTCCGCTGCTAGCCTCATCCCCTCCTCGTGCGCGCGTCCGTCCGCGGCTTCGAATGCGGTGAGCAGTGCCGCGTCAAATCGGTCTGCGGCGGCACGCAGGCCGGCCAGCAGCGAAGAGCTCCCTCGAAGCGGGGATATGTCCGGGGAGAGGTAGAGAAAAAGAATGTGGAGGATCCTGGCTTGATCGTGCAGGCCGAACTGCCATGTCGGCGGGAAGAGCGAGGTGAGGATTTGGTGGGGTGGATCGAGGAGGGCTGGCGTGAGGGGTTTTAAGAGGGCGTGCACACGGATGAACGAGGCGCGAGAGGATGGCGGCGAGGGAACGACGGGGGTGGTGGGCGCTGAGGCGAAGGGAGCGAACCCGCCCCCAACGAAATCACCGAGTTCGTCGGGTGCGGCGGGCGCGAACAGATCCTGTGAGCCCGAGTTTGAGAACGCATCCCCTCCCGTCGTGAATTCTCCAAACTCGTCGTCGGCGACGTCGACCGTGATCGTTGGCGGTGCGCTTTCCCGCTCCCGCCCCTTCGCGCCCTTTTCCCGGGCGTCCAGCTCGTCCAGCAGGTCCCCGAATCCGCACTCCTCGATCCTCAGCCGCCTGTAGCGTTGTTTCCACATGTCTTCGGAGGACGCGAGGCGCGAAACGGCGCGGCATAGTCTCGAGTAGGATGGGATGTCGGGCACGGGAAGGAAACTGAGGATGAGGAGGTGGAGGTGGGACGGCAGGCGACCGATGAGAGGTCCCGTTGGCCGTGCTTGGGCATGACTGGTTTTGGTAGAAGGCGAACCTTCCTGCTGGTAGAGTCGGACGGGCTCGAGGGCCTTGAATTTGTCCATGTCGATGGTCGAAGTTGATGCCGGTCTTCGGCGTTGTAAGGCAAGTGATGGGAGCGCGCGCCGTGCGAACTTTGCGGCGGGCAGAGCGCTGGTAGCGGTCCGCGCTGACTTTCACGACATCACAGTCCACTGCATACCATTCATGTGCGGCTTGGGGCCAACGAGCATAAGTACAGCCCTTCGTCAACGAGGCTCGTGGATTTGCGGGATCGTTGCGGCCCCCAGGACAAATCTCCATCCGAATTCTAGTTTACAAGGCACTTGTTGAAGATACATTTCCATGACACAGCGACCTCCTTCTGCTTCGTTTACTTTCCATAGCTCAATCCTCCTGCACTTCTCCTCGAGCCGCCAACGTCTCCACAATCTGCACCGCCCTATCGAACGACGCCTTCTGCTCATCGCTAACCTTCACATCGCTCTCGAACCGCGCGCATCCCTGGGGGGCAGAGTTGACCCAGCTGAAGCCATCGCTCTCGAAGAAGATGCCGATGTTCTTGCCGTAGATATCACTCGATGGCACCTCCTCGACGGGGAGATCCTTCAGGATCGTCTTGAGCTCGGAAAGAAGCGCGGGCGTGTCCTCGGAAGATGGAGCGATCTTCTTGGGAGGCTTAGGGAGGAGGTTGGGTGTTCCGTCTTCGCGGACGTTAGAGAAAAGGAGGATGTGAGATGCCGATGGCTCGAACGAGAAGTCGTGGATCGCGGATGGACGAGGGGGGGCGAACCCGCCGGCGATACCTGATAGAAGGTTTGAGCACTCGATTCCTTGTGTCACTGTTAGGCGTTAGGCATACCGTGCTGGATGCGAAGGGAAAAGGGGGAGACGGTCATCGTGGTACGAGATCAAGGTGTAGTTGGAATCCAGATAAGCGCAAGGATGCGGTCATCTGCGGAGCGAGCTCGCGATCGGGCCTTGAGATCCATCGGGAGGATATAGC